ATGACAAACGCATGTGGACTTCAGAATGTACACGACAGCTCAAACACAGATTATGACAGGCGAGCGGACTTTGAATGTATGTGATGTTCGGCGTCTCGGCATGGAACTTCGACATGGAAACTTGGTGTCAGTGGAAAGAGCGTCTGACTGTACTTGCGTGATGGTTGGTCCATTTTACGCGGCAATTATACCTCAAGGACTCACGGACTCACCAGCACTGCCAAGCTCCCCGACGGGGTGGGCTTTTCTGCTCGTGTGCTATGTAAAATTCCGTTCTCATGCGGACTTGTAATTACTACTTCGGCTACTCGGCAGATGCAATCATATTCTTTATCTTCAGTCAACGCAGTATTCCCTCCTTCACTCTGAAACAAAGAGGCATTTATGCTATTTAAGTTCATCCTCCCCTCGTGTGCTTGGAACAAACTTATAACTTATGGGCACCAAGGCGGGAGAGTTTTTGTGTTGGAAACCGCAGCTCCGTACTCAAAATCACCAGGCCAGCCGCCAAGATGGTGAGACCATATCATGGAAGGACCTGAAGAATGTTGTAAAGAGGTGCAAGACGGTAGAAAAAATGATAACATACTTTTGGATTTGCTCGAGTGCCAATTCCCGGAGAGCAGATTCCCCCTCAGGGCCTCAGCGCTCAGCGCTCAGCATTGGCGTGATTAGAGAAATTTCCACGGAGTTTTCGTCAACCACGCTTTCTGGTACGTAGATTACACTCCGGGGTCATACTCGAATCTCGTGCACACCAGATTACGAGAGCTGTTTCGCTGCCGCTGCGCGCCGGTTTGGTTGCCCGTGATGGCCAAGCGCTAATTTGGGCCGGAGAGAGACGGAGAATGCGCCTATGTCCCAAGAAATGCTTGAATAGGCTATTTGCGACCACCAACATGGTACCCGGCGGAGACTCAGCGGCTTGGAGAGCTTGGAACAATGACAAATATGGGAGGAAGCATGTAGACTTCAGAATGCACAGCTCGCACAGTATGACAGGCGAGCGGACCTTGAACCAAATGTCACCTTCGGCTGCTCGGCATAGAATTCCGACATGGAAACTGGGGATTTGACTGTACCCATTTTACGCGGCAATTATACCTCAAGGACTCAAGTACTCAAGAACTCATCGCCAAGCTCCCCGATGGGGCGGGCTTGTCTGCTCGTGTGCCTTGTAAAAGTCCGTTCTCATGCGGACTTGGAATCATCACTTCGGCTGCTCGGCAGATGCAAATTGTTTTCTTTACCTTCAGTTAACGCAGTATTCCCTCCTTCACTCTGAAACAAAGAGACATTTATGCTATTTACGTTCGTCTTCTCCTCGTGTGCTTGGAACAAACTTGGAACTTATGGGCACCAAGGTGCGCTATTTCTTCCTTGGTCCACGCGGCGCTACCCAGCCGTCGCTCTCATGAGCCGGAATTGCAGCACAACATTCCGTTTCCTTCTGTGCCTTCACTGGAAGATAAGTGCCCTCGGATCTGCTCTGGCAGTCTTCGTGCCGCGACGTGCTTGGAGCGCAAGCCTGTCTTGCACCCGGGCCGTTCCGAGCAGCTCGGAATTGCCTTCATCCCAATTGGGACGCGTCTCGCGCGATGCTGCTCGCTCCAGCGGCGACGACGCAGGCACACGGCTGCGCGGATGGAAATTCCGTGCGCAGCAGCCTATTCGTGAGCATAACTGATATGTTCCATTGCGCGGGACTGGCTGGGGTGGTCAATAAGGCGGCGCGAAGTTCTGGTGCAGTCATTCGTCCGTGATGCTAAGTAAAATTGTGTGGCCACATACCGAACTTGTTGCTCAGAAACGCGAGCAGATCTCCGGATTATTCTATTTTGAAACCCTGTTTCTCGTTGAAACCCAGGGTTTCTACAACTATTTTTTGAATCCCTCGAGTGCTTGTGCGTGAATCTCTGCCGAATTGATCCGAATAGACTGCCGTATGTACTTTCGGCTCGGCTATAGATCTCTTGCCTATCCCTGCCTTTCCTGCGTACATACTACTCTTGGTCTAAATCCCTTGCAGAAGGCTGGAAATGGTATAGTAGTTATTCCATGTATTTAATCAATAAGATTCATATTTATCTATGGGGTATATCTTCAACTACTCAGTTGATTTTGTCCATTGTGGTGTTCAGGCGCGCGTCCACGCTGCGTTAAGTATGGCTCGTACTTACATCTATACCCCCTGACAAGTACGGCGGGCCTTAAATCAAGTAATTGCATTTATTTCACCCAATATGAGCGCAGACAAGGTTAGCGCATGTCTAGTGTCCCTAGTTTGCGGTACTTTCGTGAACACATGTTTATGGAGCATTGTGGCCTGGCATACATGCGTCGCGGTCAAGCGTGTACTTTGTCTGATTCTCTGAAAATTGCTGTTGACATTGATTTTGCTCCTCTGGTGTGTATATCTAAGCAGAATATGTCTGGGCGCTTGATGAGCGCTGTGAGTGCGTCAAGAACGCGCGACCGCGCGCCTGGAGCGGACATTGAATCCGATGCTCTGCCGACTGACTGCCGTCCCTTATTTGCTTTGAAACCCTACAGAAACCCAGGTTCAAAGTAAGAAACTTTGAAACCCTCAGAGACGGTTTCAAAATAGAATCCCAGATCTCCTGCTTTCCGTACACAGATCATCAAGGAGTTCCAAAGCATCTGATTGGGCCACGATCCGGCGCTGAGTGCACGCAGTGCATTGAAAGATTGAATGTGCATTTGAATGGCTTGGATACCTACGAAGGCTTCTATTTTGGCACGACGACAAGGACAAGTTGGCTAGCGCTCGGACGCGGTGGATGACCGTAGCCGAGCTGACGCGCAGGAAATTCCCAGGAGCTGCGCGGTTCCGAGCGGGTGACACGACGCAGTGTGTGTGGCCGTGTTATTTCTCTCTTTGGGAATGCCCAGAAAGTGATAAAACCCATACCATCTCGACCACCACCACATCCCCCATCTGCACCGATCACTGCCAAACCATCATCTACCTGTTCTAACAATCGCGCAGAGCCGCGGCACAGCGCCCATAGCGCGATAACCATTGTGATACATTCTTACACCAATCACCGGTTCGTCGGCCGAACGCTTCTACTTCTTACAACAGCTACTTACGGCGCCTGATACTTAATCCCATCACATACAGCCCGCCGTCGCCAAACCATGCCCGGAATTACATACGCTGCGTACGACGAGGACACGCACGACGCCCGCAGGCGCTCCAAGCGCAGCGCACACCCGTCCCCGCCTCGTGCCCAGACGCACTCTGACTCATACCGCGGTGCGGGGCCAATGGCGCAGACGACAGCCTACGGCGTCAACGGGCCGCAGTGGACCGCGGACCAGCCGCCGCCGCTCATCTATTCGCGCTCGCCATACGCACACATCCCACTTCCGCCGCTCACGCCACAGCCAGTATCGCTTCACCCGTTGCTCACGCCGCACGGCGCGGCGAGCATCTTATGGACCATTTGCACGAACCCCATCTCAGCCGCGTGCTCATTCGGGCTCGCCGCGCGCGACGAGTACCACTGGAAGTCGCTACCCGCCGTACCCGAGGCGCCAAACGTGCCGTCTATCACCATATTCATAGCGCCGTTCCCCAGCCCCGTCGTCGTGCTCCCCGTGCGGGGGTTTATCACCGTGTGGGACGTGCTCCGCGCGGTGTACGACGGTGCGCGCCGCGGCGCTGCCGAGCTGCGTGCGGCGCAGGCGCGCGTGCCTGCGCCGCACCGCGCGCCGCATGCGTATGGGATGCTCGCGGCGGGCGGGCCGTCGTCCGGCGACATCACGGCGACGGACGTGCGCGAGTTCATGCGCTTCTGCACGCGCTGGGCGGGGCTCGTCCCGAGCAAGACGGAGCGCGACGTGTGGGTGCTGCGCACGGCGCCGATTTCGCCTGCCAGGTGAAGCGCCGTGCGCGCGCAGTTCGGCTGCGCGCTTCTTTACCCCACAAACCCCTCGATGGACGGTACCACCACCATTCACCAATACCAAATCCTCTCGACGGACGGTACCACACGACACCCAAGGACACTGACGCGCCGCGCCGCACAAGCCGACGCCGCGCCCGGCGGTATATTTATCGGGCCCCACGCGCCCCAGAGACAGTCTTAGTTGACGCCTTTTTAGTATCACCGCGCCGTCCTCCACCCACCCCTTCCCTATCTGATCCCACTGCGCACTCATCATAGTGGCGCGATATATTTATCCACAACGCAGGGACTTCCCGGGATTCTAGTAGATAGCTCCGCACCAGCGTGTTCTGGTCGCGCCGATCCCACAGTTTGGATCGAATCAAAGTTAAATAGTTAGTTGATGCGTCGTAGCACGTCACTTGAAGACGTGCTTCAGAAGTTGTAGTTATAGTCGAGGAAATTGTGTATTATGTATTAAATAAATTTGACTTAAGGATACGGTCCTTGAAATTGAGAGTGACTTACACAGCTGCACATCAATGACTATCGAGCGCACCGAAGGAAACTTCGGTCACCTTGTGGCGTAAATGCGGTGGCAAGTGAAAATTTCCCAAGTACGCCTGAGTCAGTCCAGCGCACTGACTCGGCATGTGGGTGTGCTGGTAATGGGATATCAGCCGGACGATATCGGTGAGGATTTATTTTTCTCATTACATACGCAAAAATGTTAGTGCAGTGCCAGTGGGCTGATGCTCAGCCGGTCGGACGATGTCGGTGGGGATTTCTTTGTAGCGGCTTTGCAACTAAAGCGATCTGCTCGGTTACGAGGGGCGATAATGCCTCGCTCGGAGTACAATAGCTCCGGTGGCGCGGAGACGGATCAACTTCGCCAGCGGATGTATTTGTGTACCCCGCGATGGTAGTGGTATGCCGGCGCTAATGTTATGTTCCTTTGCATATTGCGCGATGAACGCGTAGAGGTGTAATATTCGAGCGAGTAGAAATCGTGAATATCGAAAGGAATTAGCTGCACCGTGCAACCATCCGTGAGTGAAGGAGATAGCGACGGAGCACAGCGTTCATGGCAACGTGGCCGAGTGGTCTAAGGCGCTGGAATTAGGTATATTATTTGCCATCCAGTCCGAAAGGGCGCGAGTTCGAACCTCGCCGTTGTCAGTGTTTCTATATTTTCCTAGGATTTTTGACTGTGGGACGGATTGTTTTGTTACTTGTAACTTTTATAACATTAAACAGGGTGAGGGAACACGCATCACTTGCGGCATGCCGCGGCCCCCAATGCGCGGCCGCTTCCTTCCAAAAGGATACTATCACGCGCAACGGAATGCAAAAGTGATCTAGTAATGCAAAATGCGCTCTACAGAACGCAATTCCTGGTCGTTTTTCGAGATTATTTCAGTTTCCGGTGCGCCTAAACGTGGCGCATAATACCTCCAAATTTCATGCAGCCAATTGCCCTAGTCGCTCTACAACTGCTTTGTCTATCCCTAAAAATACACWTTTATATTAACATTYCCTACTGTTTTGTAATTTCCGCCTCTTTCCACSCACAGAAATTTTTSAAAAATTTCCAGCATGTATAAATACTGYATKTTTGCTCGTACCTCGACTTATAGACTCCCAGCTATATGAATGCAAGTGGAAAACGGTTGCGTGACATAGATCGTGACGCTAGTCTCACTGCCTGGGGTGTGACAAATCTGTGACAATATGCATATCATCATCTTATCTACCTTCCTGTTTATCAATCACACTTGTAAGAGGAGTTAAAAATTTATGGGTCAATATGTATTATGTAGTTAATGGTCTGGTAAAAATCTTAGAGCAATTTCATGCTTTAACATAGCGGAAACACCAAAGCAGCAAGAATATTGATCTGAAAAGTGTATTTTTAGGAATAGACGAAGCAGTTGTAAAACAACTAGGGAGACTGGCCTCATGAAATTTTAAGGGATTATGCGCCACGTCCAGGCTCACCGGAAACTAAAATAATCTCGAAAAACGACCAAGAATTGCGTTCTGTAGAGTGCGTTTTGCATTACTAGATCACTTTTGCATTCCGTTGCGCGTGATAGTATCAAATGCCGTGAGCTCAATGTTCAATATTGGACGAAGATAGACGAGGTTGTGCGGAATTTGTAGGCATCAGATCAGACGTACTTTGGCAGATGTCTGTGTCTCATCGGATAGAACGAGATGCCTAATAATGACACTCACCCGCCACGCATAAGTAGACTCGCAGTCTAGACTCTAGGCCACCCACCTCATGCCTTCATGCCGTATGCAGCCGGGGCGACGCTTAATGTACGCCTTCGATAGCTCAATCTGGCAGAGCGCGGGACTGTAATGGCAATGAATCTTCAAGCTTCACCGCACATCCCGAGGTCGCTGGTTCGACCCCGGCTCGAAGGAGCTTTTTGGTCTGACTGTGCACATAGGTGCTCCAGAGGACGGCCTGCAGACTCAAGATTGAAGAGACGCACACGCGAACCAAAGAACTTGTCTTTTTTGGTAGGTCATTAGTGGGCGCCTAGTGGGGTACCACTGAGCAGGCTCGCGATGAGATCCTAAAATTTAAAATGAAGACATTTAGCTCTGTTATAGCTCTGTCGCAGTCGCACAGCAGGTACTCGAGGGATTAAATCAACGCAATGGGCGCGATTTGGGCTCGCAACGAAACCTATAGATGGTGTGATGAACGGTCCGTATACTACATGTTCAACCATTCGCGAGCTGTTAAGACTCAACATCATCAATAGTCCTGGGACGTACATTGGAGTGTTGCTGACGCACGTAGTGCACACGTTCGTTGCATTGATACTGGTAGGGAACACTGGCTAGAACATCAAGCGGAAACGTTTCCAACATCTCGAAATCGCCCTGGTGTTTGAAACTCCGGAACGAGTTCAGTGAACAGGTAGAGAAACGAGTGTATTTGAACGCTGCCGCCATTCTTCCAGCCAGTGAAATAGGACATAGAGAGCCAGAAGTATCGAAAAGCAATGGGAGGGGAATGAGAGAGTAGACTGTGATCTACCTTATTCGATGAAGAATGCCCGGAATGCATCTAGGATCTATAGTTGTGTCCGAGATATCTGTGTTTGCTGCAAAGTTGTTGCTGCATATGATTATTAGATTTTGTAGATGAGCCTAAACCGGTTCGGAAATCAGTACCTGCAGTGTCCAAGTCATGGGATAATTCAGCGCTGAATATACAACACGATAAAATATCCATCGTGTACAACACCGAGTGTCAAATAAAACAACAGCAATCAGAAATGCGGCCCTGATAATCCGCAAAGTCATAGAAGCTCAGCGTGGCTGCATCTTCGCCGTTTCAGACGTCCATTAATTATCATTCTGTTTCGTGCCATTGGACAGCACTTCTCAAGAATGGATTACTGAAAGGGAGCAATTTCGAACACGCTGATTGGTTTATCTCCGTGGCTGATGAACAAGTTCTCAAGTCGGGGACAGAGTCGTCTTGGAGGTGGCGGCTGGCATTCGGTGGGACTGTCGGCCGAAGGGAGAAGACCGGGTTGGAAGTACTCGAACCATCCCTGCAGCGTCGTGTTATCGATCTGCAGAGTCGTGTTCTCGGGAGGCGCCAACGCTGAGCAGAGGGCGCGTACGTCGAGTGAGATCAAGCGTGGGCAGCACTGTAGGCACTCCATGAGCTCGAGCGGTCCGCGGAGATTCGCGAGGCTGAGGTGGTGGATGCGACCCTCCGCACCGTGCAGAAGGCCGAACAATGGCATGATCCCTTTCGCGGCGTCGTACGTGATGCACAGCAGGGAAGGCAGGTACATCTCCGCAAATAGAGCGCGCGCTTGCAGGGTGTTGAGCCACCATTCGTCGGGTGCGATCGCCAGGGAGATGGATGTGAGATACGGGAGGGAGATGGGCGGTAACGGTTCGTAGTACTTGACGTGTAGAGTGCAGCTACGGAGCTGGGTGGCAAAGCGTAGGATAGCACCGGCGCAGCCTAGCTTGACCGCGCTGGTGCTGCTTCCGAGGGAGAGGTGCGTGAGCCGGTCCCAGTGCACGTTGTATGCGCTGTAGTTTCCCGCCGAGCTTGACGTCAGGAGGCTTAGGTCGCTGAGGTGCGGCGCGGTGACGAGTGCGCTGCTATTGAATACAGCTTGGGGATCGCGCTTGCGACCAGCCTTACTCGTAACCTTGATGCTACACGACTCCAGCCGCGGGTATTGGGAAGATTCGTGAACAGGAGGGAAGACACGTTGAAGAGAGGAGAACGAGCCAATGTAGGAAATCTTCTTCCATCGAGCGGATGATGCGGTGAGTATCTTCAACAGTTCGTCGGTATTGTGAGGAGGCAAAATGGAAGAACCAAAGTCTTCGTGGATGGAAATCGATAGCTCACATATACCAGAACGGCGGATCCACTCTGCGACTACCTCTATCTGTCGTCCTATCCGATTTTCAGAGTGCTCGATCGAGACATGTATCGCCACCCAGAGTCGAGCAGTGGTAAGGGCAATGTGCCTTGTGTGCCGTGAAATGTGAGTGAGGAGGATCGGCGCGTGTCGGGGGTCCACAAGGGGGTTGGTGTCAGTTGGAATACACGCAAGGAATATTTCTCGAAGGATGTCGTCTGGCAAGGCCCGAAAAGGGGATAGAACGGCCCGGTACGGGCCCAGTTTCTCCGTTAGCTGCCTTTCTTCATCGACCAGGGTCTTGAGCCGCGTAGTGAGCTGAGAGATCTCCATCCTCATTGCCTTCAAAGCCATCTCGGGAGCAGATAGCGCATCAAGAAGAAACAGCCTTTCCTCGGGAGATGGGTTTTGTATGAGCGACGCAAATCGCGGGGGCGCTGGGACGGAATGCTCTCTCTACAGCCATAAGCATTTTGCCCATGCAGTTAGTGACGACTTGCCATGATGATTTGTGGATCCAAGAGGAAGGATGGATGGTAGCGGATCTGCAGGTGGATATGGTAGGACGAGAACGGTGGATATCGATTCGGCGTTGCAGTACTAGGATTATATACCGAATATAATCGGGTGTTAGCCCCCTTCAGGAAAATAGCGCCTGTCTGAAACAAATACATGACGCCACGTCAGCGAAGGTTAAAACGGAATTAAATGGACGGCACCTTGGAGGCCACGGGAATAGAATGATAGGGATAGTTCATAACACAAAGCCATAACACAAAGCCGAGGTGACTGACGGTTTTGCGCGCACGGGGCGCAAGCCAGCGCGATCTAAATATTAAGTATAGAGATGTGAGCATCGGTACACTCATTCAACCTCAAGGTGAATGGCCACTTCGTACGAACACCCAGTCGCATTTTGAACAAGAATGAATTGAGATAGCTCAGTGATTTATGGCGCGAGCGCAGTCGAGGAACCCTAACGGGGGAAATATCGGGTGTCCATCCAATTAGAAGCGCCTGTCATATCAGAGTCGTAGATACGCAAATGAGATGTGTCCTTGGTCTAATGTCGAGCTTGAAGGGATGATCGGAAGAACTTCGCGGAAAACCTAGACACGAAGACTGCGACCACTGCAGACTGCGCACAAGCGCACTGCAGGCCTAAATATGAGCGCCAGATATCGGACAGAAGAACCATCGAAGTCCTTCCTATTGTGAACTAGAATAGTTATATCCCCGACATTGAAGCCTATGAAAGACACGACACCAAGTACCAGGACAGGTGGGGCGAAAATGTGAGCGCGTACACGACTCTTTGGAACGGAAGATCTGGCGGAACACCGTGACATGGGTCTGATGTTATTTATTACTGTATTCTCAACGAGCAACGACGAAAAATCAACAATATTGACGTTTATTCAAAAACTGAGGGCAGGAAAATGGTCACATTAGTTTAGCGTCCGACAAAAAATAAGGATCGAAATGAAGGCTTGCCTAAAGTTTGCCTATGCTCCGAGCCCAATATATGTAAGAGTTCCCCAGAATCTAGCACACGAGGTGTTAAGGTAAATGTCGTAGCTGGAATGGAGAAGGGCCGGTTGCTGCATTCAACTTCTGTCACTGAACGAGTCCATGGTGGTGCAAGACAAGCAGAGTACGTGTCCTTGCTTGGATGTGTTTGGCAAGATTAGTCACGAGATGCCGCAGCAGCCTTACGCGCAAGGCACGATTTCACTCGACTGTCGTCACGAACTTTTATCGCTCTCCCTGGGCTCTGTTCATTCTCACGTCTGGCGCATTCATCTTAAATGAGGTTTAGGCAGATCGGTACGGGATTAGGAAGGTCGATATCATTTACCTCAGAACAACCGACATTAACCCCCCTGATCTTTCAGCAGCTTTTGAGTCGCTTCGTAGAAGGGCTTTACAAGTGCGTATTTCGCCAAAATTCTATTCAAACACACAGCTTCTAAAAATGAAGTTTAAATGGCGGCACCAGACGTGTGTGGCGGTGTACAGCGCCGCGAGGCTATGTATGCCCTGCACTATCACACAGCGGGTGATCGATGGTGCCCGATAAAAAGAGCGTAACAACAGGCAACACTTCGGCATAGTACGAAGTTGCATCCTGCTTTGACTTAAAGCGCAGAACAAGTAACGATTTCCAATTGTCGCGCGGTTCAGTGGCTCATACAAGATTTTGGAACTAGATGCTCTCTCACAGCAGTGTTGTAATCACCGGCGGGACGTTCACTCAGTTCGGGTCGTCGCAGAATGCACTTGGTAGGTGTGTCCACATTGTGCTCATATCCCGCCTAACTAACTTTGACGCTTAGACAGACTCATGGGTGCTTCAGCGCCCAATGCTTTGCACGACTCTAGTGCCCGCTTCGATCCCCCAAAATGCCACCCTAATACTCGCCTTGCGGTCCTCGAGTGTATAATGGAATGGATCTTTGGCTCCGACGATCGTGAAGCGCTCATACTGTGGCTTTACGGCCCCGCAGGTGCGGGCAAGTCCGCGATCTTACAGTCAATCGCAGAGAAATGCGCTGCGTTGGACATTCTKTTGGCGAGCTTCTTCTTTTTCAGATCAGACAGTACTCGAAACCATCCGGGATCCCTCGTCGCGACCATCGCATATCAAATTGCAACCCAAATTCCACAAGTTGTATCGGCTCTAGACAACACTATTTCGCGCGATCCCATGATTTTCAAGAAATCCCTCGATACCCAGATCCAACAACTCATTGTCAATCCGCTACGAAACCTTGCCCTCGCAGGGTTCTTCAAAGACAAGCAAACGGCCCCGCGYCTTGTACTCATCGATGGCCTGGACGAATGTCACGGTCAAGATCAACGTCGAATTGTCCTGCTTTCTATCGCRAAAGCGTTGCGTGAACTGAATTTCCCGCTCATTTTCCTGATTTCCAGCCGTCCGGAGGAAGATATCCGACTGACATTCAACTCTTCTCCTCTCGTGGGCCTGTGGTCTTCCTTAGTGCTGGACGATTC